GCTGCTGATTCACAACAACAAGCTTAAACACCGCGAGGCGAACAACAAAATTAATCTGAACCACCGAACACCACGGGTAAACCGGAAATGCTGAACTTGACGCATGCGCATACGTTTTGCCGCGGTGTTGAGTTTCGGTTGTTACGGTTTGGCTTTTCGAAATGGCGTGCGTTTGTTTCTGATGTCACTGTTACTGTTATTATTGCCACGGTGTTCGCTTTAAAACCGATGTAAAGTTTTCTCGATAACATATCAGGGACTCTTTTGCGAGGACATCGATGGCGTCCAACAATCCAGGTTCCTTTTGTTTAATTTTGTGTTTTATTTAGCTTATCTTCTTTCTCTAACAGATCTGAGATAGTAAAAACTTTTGGTAATGTTTTATCATCGTTATTCTCTCTTAACAGCAAATCGCGTCGGTGGAGACTTCGCTCCTCCTAAAAGACCCAATTTTGGATCTGTGGGAAAGACGATCGCTCTAAGAACAAACTTTTTTCAAGTTCGACTTCCCAAAGGAGACATTCACCATTATGATCTTAGCATATCGCCCGACAAATGCCCGAGACGGGTGAACCGCGATGTCGTGGAAGCCATGGTTAGCACTTATCACAAAGTTTTTGGAGGACAAAGACCTGTGTTTGATGGAAGGAAGAATCTCTACAGCAGTAAAGCACTACCGATCGGTCGAAAACCAGTAAGTTGTAAGCTTGTTTCCATCTGGAATGAGCTTTATTAATAGGAATTTGTAAAATTTATGACTTATAGAACAAGTACAAGTCTTAGCGTTTGAGGAAGTTTTCGGTTTTATTTTGGATCAAGATGTATTATTGTGTTTATAACGCGTGTACGAATACAGTATGCTTTCTTTAGACATGTGTACTTAATGTATACGTATCTAGTTTTTCCTCAAGCACAATGTAGCTTCAATGACACATGGAAGGTGGTCTTAACAAAAAAATCAAAAGTCTTTTTGTTCCCCTACAACACCCACAGGCTGTAGAGAACTTGGGTGACACTGTACATTGTACAACTGTGCTTGATATTTTTATAACTGGAATGTTTGGGTGTTATGTTTTAGATTGATTTTGAGGTGACACTTCCAACTGAAAACAGCAAAGACAAGACATTCAAAGTAAGTTAGAATCATTGTTAGATGCATAAT